CGGGGGAGGAAGGGGTTAAAGGCCCGGTGGGGGCGCGGGGGGGGGGCCGGACTCCGGGTGCGGCTCGGCCGGTCGGGAAGCCGCGACCCGGGAATGCGGCCAGCTTTCTGCAGACGCAGCGATCTTCCTCCGGGCTGAGGGGGCTGAGCGGGGCCAGGGGCCGTGGGACCGGGGGCCTGGTGGGCGCGGGACTGCTCCCTGCCTCCCAGGCCCCTCGTCCGCCCGCCCGGGACCGGGGGGCCCCGAGCCTGTGCGGGGCGCCAGGGCGGGAGAGAGGTCAGTGTGGTTCAGAATGGGGGGCTGGGGTGGAGAGGTGGCGAGAGAGTGCAGAGGGAAGGCCGGGGAAGAGATAGAGGCCAGGAGGGCGGGCGGGCCTGAATGCGGACAGTGTGGCCAGTGTTGGCTGCAGGCCACCAGCGCTGGGGGTGGGGGAGGGGAGGAGGGAAGGGAAGTTCTTCAAAAAAAACCGTTGGGAGTTCCTAGCCCTGGCTTTTGTGAATTGTCCCTCCCACTACCCCCGTCACCCCAGCCCCCTCTGGAGTGAGTTAAACACTCCCCCTCCCCCCCTCCGTGTAATGAATGCCCTTTGCCACCCTGGGAGGGGAGGGAGGGTGATCTTGCTTCTGGCAAACTGCCTGCTCCGCACTGGAATTGGGCCTGTCCTTCACTGGCTGGCACACAAAGGCCCATGCCAGGCGGGGACTTCGTCTCCCTGTTTTCCAGCTGAGGATAACTACAGCTCGGGAATGGGACGGGGAGCCCCTTGTTCAGGTCTACCCAGTTGGTGACTTGGGAAGTGAGCCTGAGCCCCTGGGGGTGCCCTTCCCCCCCGTGGGTGGCCTCTGCCTGCTGGGCCTGGGGATGGGAGAGGGAAAGGAGAGGCTGGCACCCCGGAGGGCAGGGAAGGAAACCATTCCAGGACCATTCCTGGAAAGGTGTGGCCTGTAGGTGGCCTGAGGCCTTGAAAACTGGGCCTGGTGGCAGGGCCTTCTGAGATGTGACTTGAAGGAAGATCCTGGAGCTCGAGGTCAGAAGGCAGACAGTGGGGCAGATGCCAGCTTGGTGCCCTCTGTCCCAAGAGCAACAGGGGCCTGTCATTTGCTGAGCTCCCCAGACATGCCCGATGCTGCCTGAGCATCATTCCTATTCAGTCCCCGCAGGGATTGAGCTTCCCTGTGGGATGAGTCTGAGGTTCTGATGGGCAGACAACTTGTCCAGGGTGTGTGGCCACCGCTGGTTCTGTGCTGATTCTAGAACCAAACCAACTGCTCCACCACCCTGCAGAGTTACCCCCTGGCAACTTGTCCCCAAGTGCCCCTGGGACACAGGGTTTCGAAGACATGTCCAAGACTCAGAAATGCTCAGAGTCAGGGGCTCTGGCATTAGAACAGGAGAGTTTCTCCTCAAAGGACCTTTAGGGCGGGGACAGTCCAGTCACCCCAGTTCTCCTGGGTGTGGATCGCTCCTTCATAAGGAGGGGCCTAGGTGGCTCTCGGTGCCCAGCCAGTCACAAGCAAAGGATTGTAAACTCTCTTTGAACCCAAGTTCAGGGAAGAGAAGGAAAGCAGGGAGCTGGGGTCTTAACCCTGCACACTAGGAAACCCAAACTTCTTTGCTTTTTCTCCAGATGAACCTTTCTAATGGGGCTGAGCCTGCAGCATAGAGGCTGGATCTGAGCCAGCACAAGAGGACGGGCACTTTTGTCTCCTTTTCCCAAAAGCAAGCCTCTCCTGCCCCAGCCTTGTCCCGTCTCTAGCTGTGGTCTCCCTGTGGCCCGCTCCTCCCCAGCTCGTTTTCAGAAGAACTGAATTCAGCCCTTAGGTATTTGCCCTGTCCTTATTCCCACTAGGGCCAGGACAGAGAAAAGCCACAGACCCAGGCTACTTTGGGTCCAGGGTTGTCAGATTGAGCAAATAAAAATCTAGGACGCCCAGTTAAATTTGAATTAAGATGCACAATGCATGAGTTTTTAGTATAAGTGCATCCCATGAAATAGTTGAGACATTTCTACTAAAAAAAAAAAGTATGCATTGTTTATGTGAAATTCTAATTTAGCTGGGCATCCTGGATATTATCTGGGGGCTGATTTTGGTCCTGAATAGTCAATGTGTTCGGTCCCTGCCCACAGGGATGCTTTAGTCCAACAGGAGAGAAAAGGCACAGAAAGCTGTTGGCATAGCACAGCAGGGGTGCTGTGGGGCCCTCACCTGTGATTTAAAGTAGGGGTGGGGTAGTTCTCTGTGCATGTGACACAACCCAGACCAGAATTGGTCCCTTTGTCTTGTGGCCCACTTTGGGCTCCTGAATTGAGGCTCCTTCCCACTCCCACCCACACTAAACAGCAAATTTGTAGAACATACAAGGAGGACAAAAATCCTCTATCTTCCTCAGTGTCCTTGTCACCTTAAAAGACAAGCCATGATGGCAAGGATGGATTGGGTCAGGAGGCAGCCTTGAGCACTTTTCAAGAAACCC